GTTTAATTTGTCTTTCGAGAACGGTTTGCGAAGTGGAATGCCAAACGTCAAAATATGTTCGTATTTTCAACTGAAATTGTGGTTGTCATTAACGACATTAAAGAATATTGATATTAAACGCAACAAGAAAATAACTTCCGAACCATGGTCTCTGTGTATACAAATGATTTTTTTTTACTTTTAATTAAAATATATTTGTGATCACTGCATTATTCCTTTTATTTTATTCGTCTATATGTAATTTTTTTTCTGCAATAAGTAATCTAGTAACTTGTTTGATGTTTTAAACGTTTCGATTTGAATTTTAAATTTGAAATGTTTTGATTTTAATTTTTTATATATAATCAGCTATACACAAACATATTTCCCTTGGATAAGGGTATTAGGCAAGGAGGCACCATCTCTCCTAAACTATTCTCCGCTTTATTAAAGAGTGCCATGAGAAACTTAAGGTTTGTAGACGACATAGTCCTTATTGCAGACCGGGTAGATCATGCCTGTCAACTTCTTTAAGACCTTTAAAGTTCTTGTACACGAGTTAATCAGTTAGCCCGGTATATAACAAGTCAACATAGCAAGAAAATAAAAGAAACAAAATAAGGGGTAGTTAGCCTAGAAAAGAATATTAATAATTAATTAAATAATTATTATATACTCCAAATTAAATAAAAATAATTCGACATAGTTTAACGTATATATTTCAAATTAAACAAAAAATGAAAATTCGACCTAGTTTAAGTGTATTACACAAGTGTCGATATCAGGCCAGCCCGAATGTTTAAAAATTACGAAACCATAGACCTTCGTTGGAAAATAATACCACGAAGCGACACACCAGCGATAAGAATTGAGCTGAGCTAGCAGAGCAGACGATCGTATGATCCATTGTAACACGTGGAGCAGACGGCACCATCAGCGAAAACTCTAGGGGTAAGGCGCGACGCCTCGGTACTGTGACGGTAATTGAGAATACGCGTTCTCGGTACATAAAAAACGAAGTAAGTTGGTCAGCCGGGCAGTAGTGTCCGGCGACCCGGGTAATAGTTTTGGCGACAGGAGCCAGTGAGAACGGCAGTACCGTATAAGTACCAGATATCTCGTATCTCGAAAATTCGTGATAGCGTACAGTACTCTCAGCAGACTGTTCCTGAGTTCCAGTTGGACTGCAAGGGCGTATTCTTTAGCTAGGGCCTAAAGGCGCTAAGGTAACTAAACATAAATACTAACCCAGGGGAAATACATAATAATCGTAGATTATCCACCCTTTAGATTTCTTGCTAAGGTCTCTTCTCGTCTCCTTTCGCAACCGAATAAACCATAATTAGTTATAACTGATATCTTGTTGTCTTAGTTATAGTATACAATTTATTTAATATACTGTAAGTTCGAAATTGGGTTTTATTGTTCTTTCCCGGCCGTTTACAGGTAGAGACTAGAAGAGAACACATTTTGGCTTCTACATTGCTTCGGCTTCTAAAGTAAGCCCATAGCCTCAACTCTTTACAGGGCATGCAATCTGGACGTCCTTCATCCCTATTTCCAAATTTCCCTACCCTCTTATAAATCCGCGAGAGCGAAATCATGTCCGTTCAGACTAGTTGGAGTGTATGTTTATTACAAAAGCAAAGAATAGCAATGTTGAATATATCCCTCGGCGACAGAGTTTCAAATCAAATAGGAGGATAACTAGTGTTACGGACCCCGTTTAATTGAATTACAACGCTGAAATGGAACTGGGTAGGACATATTGATAGAGTCTAAGACGGAAGATGGACCAAGAAAATTTTAGAATAGAGACCTAAGACACGATGTATATCGTAATCAGACGACATCAAGCGCATCCATCACAACTGGATTCGGGGTGCTCGAGATCGGATGCAATGATTATACTAATTGTAACAAGGCAACCATTTCCTTCGAGATTAGGACTAGTTCTATCATATCTTATTCTTGTCTTTATTTCCTCATTTATTTATATGTCGTTCACCAGTTCTTTCGAGCTTAGGACTACTTGTATCAGATCTTATTCTTGTCTTTATTTCCTCATTTATTTGTATGTCGTCCACCATTTCCTTCGAGTTTGGGACTGACTGTAGTACTGATTCACCTCTTTCATTAAAGTTTCTACCCCACGTCACATCAATTGCAGTCCATTTCTCCTGAAATCTCTTACTAGCTGTTCAATCTCTTTTGGTAGTGGTTGCTCGGGATAATCATATGGGAGATATGCTGATCCGAGAATTATCTCCTTCATACTTCGTCTATAGTCTTCATCTTTACAGTCGTGAAATCCCTGGAACAAAGATTCATTAACGTAAGTGTTTTGAATTGTCTTTTAACTATTATAAAGATCCTCAGGATTTCTGCAAATCGGCCAAGTTTTCCACCAATGCCCAATAGACCTCTTATTCCGACCTTTTAAACCAGAGCTCTTTTATCAAAGGTACATTAAACTTTCTCATAGCAACAGTAAGTTGCCTTACTATTATGAAGAATCGCTTTCAGGACTCATCTAGGCCTCTGACAGTTTTGTAGAAGATCTCGTCGATCGTGTGACGAGAATTTGTACGTTCTCCTAGATCTTCCGATTTTTCAACAAACAGTCCCGTCTTAAGGTATTCATTTGGTTAAGATATGCCACTTGGAGTCCTCACCACCTTTGTAGTCCATTTTTTCGTATATTCATTTGCAGAAGTTCATTCTGACTCCTGACAGGACCTTGTTCCGGTTTGTTGACAATCAAGTCTGCTTGAGCCCGATCTAGTTGAGTATCAGGATGATGCTAATGTAGCACCGCCAGCCTAACTACTTTTGTGGCATTGCTATATTATGACCAAGTCTACTAGTTCCTTGGTTTTTGAGTGACTGTTGGTGGTTTGACAGACGGTAATGGTATTCTCCAAAGGTCTCTTTTTATTCTCGGGGATTGCGGGTATCCCCGCTTTGGCTTTATGTGGATTTGCTGCAATCCATGTCCTAACAGTCATTATTAAGAAGGGACAATACGAACGCAGGAACTACAGAAATTTACAAAAAAACAAATAAAGTACACAAAAAAAACATTTTACGGCGTTAGTCTCATTATGTTATAGCTACTTCCTGTAATGCTGTACAAAATAAAAGCTATAGTAACAATTGGGTCAACATTTATTGTATCAATTTGAATAATTAACTACAGTAAACAGATAATTTAATTGTCTTTAAGTTAGTGTTATAGCAGTTCAAACTATGAACAATAAAATATCGGACGATTGAGATTAACAGGATTATAACAGATATAATATATAATAAATATGTTAATATAACAATAAAATATATTATTATATAACAATAAAATAACTTGACAGAGTAGAGAAGCTCGTGTATCTCGGCAGTAATATTATTGAGAGCTTTGCAGTCACGATCTTAGCATTGATCTTAGAGTTCGAATGACATCTTGCTACATCTTTCCTGTCCTGCTGTATGGATTGGAAGCATGGACTCTAACTGAGGCTATCTTTAAACGCTTGACATCTTTTGAGATGTGGGTATACAGACGACTACTGAAAACAAGCTAGGTCGACAGAGTTAGAAATGAGGAGGTCCTTAGACGGCTGAACCAAACAACACAACTGGTCAATATAATAAAGAAACGCAAGCTGGAATACTTAGGTCACATTATGAGACACCCCAAAAAATATGATCTTTTACATCTGATCATTCAGGAAAAGATCCACATCATGGCTGAAAAATCTAAGGCAATGGTATGGAAAATCAACTACATCGTTATTTAGAGCTGCTGTCAATAAAGTCACGATAGCAAATATGGTAGCCAACATAGGCTATGGTAGATATGGTAGAACTAAAAAAAGAAGAAGATAATCCTTATTTTAAGCGAAAACTAAGATATAAATCAAAACAAAGTTTTTTCTTTTTATCTGTTGTGTACTGTAGGATACCGAATTACCGAAATATGCAAATATTCCTGTAATTCGGTATTGCATATGCATGAGGTAAAAAAATGACCAGAGACAGAGATCTTTCGAGACGGACAATACACGACCACTATACTCCCTCCGGGGAGCCAGGGCTGAGGAGAGAGACTGTATACCAAAGAACCCGCAATAATAAAAATAAAAGTGGATTATTTCAACATTTGATACATAAATGCATTGATACAAATGGATAAAAACGTGTCATAAAATATTAAGACAAAAATACGGATAAATGGTCAAACAGTTAGTAACATTTTCTTTGAGGCTGAGATCTAGAGTCGACAGACTGTTGACAACAAGGTTTTCTAAGAATAAAAACAATTGGTAACATTCGTTTTTTCAAACATTTTCATCCTGTTAGCGAAAAATTATCTATCTATATAAGGATTTTTACAGCTGTCGCCGCCTTCCTTCTTTCAGCCAACGTCTCCAGTCCTTTCTGTTCTGCCATTCTCCATCTGTAAGGTCTGGTCTTTCCATGGCCTCGTCCAATTGATACCTCCATGATCTTCGTAGTTTACCCTTCCTATTGGGCTCCAATCCGAAATCTGTGCTATTCACCTTGTATGATTTGTTCTTCTCACACGTCCATACCAAATTAAACGTTTTTCTTCGATGTAGCTGAGTATGTCTACTGCCATTCCTCGTTTTATGTCCTCATTTCTGATGTGATCTATTTTGTCACTCTGCAGCTTCTTCTCATGAACTCCCTTTCAGTTGCTGTGATTTTGGACCTGTTTCGTTTATTTATTACCCAATTCTCTGCTCCATAGGTCATTATACTGCGTACCAAAGTGTTATAAATTATCTTCTTTGCATTTCTGGTAATCTGTCTATCCCACAGTACCCCGTTCATTTGTTTAATTCATGTTCTTGTCTGTGCTAATCTGCTGATTATCTCTTGCTCACTGGTTCCATTTTTTGAGAGTATGAATCCTGTATGGATTCATGTGTATGGAGTATGGCGAGAAATCATGAATTATTAAAAACTGTATTGCAAGAGTGTTAAAAATTAAAAATAATATTGATGTTAAATCTGTTTACTTGCACCTAAGAACTATATAACATACAACTAATGGACAAACGACAATATTATTTCTAAGTGTCATGTTGATACAATAAAGTCAACCAAGTAATCTATGTAAATATCACTTCCTCTAGCAGCTCAAATATATATTAAGTATAAAGCTTAATTAATCGCTATCTGCTTTAACGATTGGAAATATATTGCTAACGCCCAGAACACTGGTTACTTTATCTTCAGTTTGACTAAAGTATACTAAGCAATAGTTGCCTTTAAACTTGTTTGGTAGATCCGGGAATGTCACTTCGTATTTTTTGGTTTCATGGGATCTACTGCTACTGCTGCTCTCGTCAGTTGGAGTTGCGCATTTGCTAACGTATTCGTAGGTCACGTAGTCATCTAAGGCACAGAAATCCTCCTAAATAATTACAAATTATTAATTACTGGATAATTCCAAATAAGGGAACAATAAAACAGTTTTATATATAATAACCCCTAACAGTAATAGGAAAGAGAAACATTCCAATATATCGTTTTATACAGTCGGTATAAATTACTTCTATTTTACTTTTTACTTCGTCAAAATACAAACAACTACTTAGAAGTTTGCTAACAATAATTTTATAAATATTTTAGTTATTTTGAACATATACAGGGTGGTCGGTAAGTAATTGTACAAAAAGAAACCGTAGATTCTAGACTTTAAAATATTACGATTTAAGACAAATTTCTTTATCTCAAATAAAATGTGGATATTAAGCAGTGGCGGCTTTTGGGGGTAGGATAGGCCGGGCCTACCCAATAATTTTAAGAACTTTAAAATTTAAAAACATATATTCAAAAATTATGTTAATGCATATAAATAACTTTTAAATATACTAAATATCTCAATACATTAATGTCTGTTAAAACATGTTATTATATTAACACAGAAAGCATCGAATCGTATTCAGGCATTTTAAATATCATTAATAGGCCCGATCGAAACTGGCCGACCCAGCTCACATAAGATCCCCGTAGAAAAAGCGTTTGAAGTTAAGCAGCTTGCCAGACAACGATTTTTATTGTCGTGTTTATGCTTCCTGTTTACGCACCAGACGATAACGACCATCGTTGTCACTTGTAACATAATTCGTCGAATTTTGAACATAGTTTCAATTCGCTTCTGCAATTCATAATGTCTAAAGTCAATGATCGACCTATTGTCTGCTGCGAAACTCGAGCCTGTATATGTTGAACTTAAGATGTTTTGCAATTTTAACATTGCTCTCATGAATATCTTATGTTTGCTTTGCAGTCCCGTATGTGAGAATTATGCACTGTCAAACAGAAGTACTGTTGTATTTTCTTACTTTAGGAATTTTAATTTCCCAAATCAGACTGTTATGCTCTTATTGTAATTATATAACATGCATTGCCCTATTACTTCTATGTTTGTCATCGTAAGATTCACCATTTCAATTGTCAATTACATAGGTAGTTCAAAACTTGATAATCTACATCGTCTGCATATCTTAGATAGTTTCATTTATGTTTATATAACATAACAAATGTAACATAATTATCGAAGTATAATATAAATTTTCTTTTAAATTATAATAAAAAGTATGTAACATAATCTATAATTGTGTAATTGTCAAATAAATTTTAAAAATTCGAAAAAAATCACATTTGCTGGCGAGCGGTTTACCCCTTAAAAGACGCTTAGAAACAGAATATACCTACTAATTTTTTTGCATTTCTAATGCACCAAACCTTTTTTATTCGATTCTATATATTTTTTCAAAATGAAATGTATTTTTTTTTAATTTTTACAAGTGGGCCGGCAATTGTTATTAACAAAAATCTTTTACACAAAAGCAATTTGACCTAATTGCGTCCGAATCAATTTTTTTAGGTGTATCTCATCAAAATAAACACTTTTTCTTTCTTGATAATTTTTCGAAAAATGCTTCCTCTTCGAGTTATTTGCATTTTTTTGTTGAAAAAATGCCTTAATTAGTAATTTTTTTTTCTAAAAAACTACTAAATGAATTGCAATTCTACAAATAGCTTTATAATCTTTAAACCGTGGGAGTACAAGTTAGAATATTTTGACAAGGATAATTTTTTTTCTATGTTGCTAAAAACATGGACCCAAATATTTCGAATATGCCTTTCGAGCAGTCTACCACTAAGTGTGTACAGCGGTTGCAGCGATACAGGCGTGCGGCGCGTAGAAATATTTGTTTAGATTTAAAAAATTAATTTAATACAAATATTACGTACAATTTATTAAAAAAAAAAGATATTTATAATTATTTTTATATAGACATATTAAAACAATTAAAATTAATTTTTTACAATGCTATAATAATGTAATTTTTCTTTTAATATACGTGGTAACTCTATTATTGAATGTTTTATTACAGTGAAATACATTAAGCAATATATAATCAATTTTCATTGAAAAATATAATAAAATAAAAATATAATATTATTTATACATCGTTTTCATTGTCAATAATTTGACAATTTTCGTCAACAGCAACAGGATTTCCATCTAATAAGCTGATTTCATTGTCTTCAATAAAGTCGTCTTTTTACATTTTTACAATTCTCTGGTGTACATGTACATACTGTGCAGCATTCTAAATTATAAGAAATACAATTATAATTTTTCGTAGAACATTTTCCGGTACATGAGCAGAAATACTTTTGTAAAATATCTAAACTAGTTTTGCCTTCAAAATAATTAAAATCGAAACAATTATTTTCCATTGTGAAACCATGGGTTAATGGATGAAGAGATGAAATAATATTGTTTTTTGCTTGAATCCATTCATTTATTAGCATTTATTTACGCAACATGTATTTGCACACCCTTACATGTAATTTCAATGTAACCTTACCATAGTCACGCACGGAGCAAATATCGTTGGCGTTAATTTAGAATTATCTAAGAAATTTGTAGTGAAATGTAGAATATTTAGTAAGTATCCCAGTATTTACTTCATCATTCAGCCCATACTCGTCCACTGCTGAACATAGGCCTCCCGTAGTTCACCCCACAAATTTCTGTCCTGAGCCGCCTGCATCCAATTTTGATGTGTCCGTTTCAGGTCATCCGTCCATCTTGTTGGTGGTCGTCCTCTATTTCTAAAGGCATCTTGTCTGGGTCTCCACTCAAGAATGCGTTTTGTCCATCTGCCGTCCTTCGTTCTCGCGACGTGCCCTGCCCAGTTCCATTTTAAGGTTGATATTCTTTTGATTGCGTCGGTTACTCCCGATCTACGGCGCAATTCTGTGTTGGGTATTCGGTCTCTCAGGGTTAATCCCAACATGGACCGTTCCATTGCCCTCTGTGTTGTTCGAATTTTGTTTGCGGACGTCTTAGTAAGTGTTAGCGTCTCCGCACCATAGGTTAGAACTGGCAGCACACATTGATCGAAGACTTTTCTCTTCAAGCAGATGGGAAGGGCTGATTGGAATACATCTCTTAGCTTTCCATAAGCTGCCCATGTCAACCCTATTCTACGTATTAGTTCATTGGTCTGGTTATCTCTACTTAAGCGAATTTCGTGTCCCAGATATTTGTATGCTGATGTTTGTTCTATACTTGTTCCAGCTATGTTGATGTTCTCACTCAGAACAAGGTTTGTCATCACTTGTGTTTTTGAGTTATTGATCTTTAAACCCACTTGTGTAGAGGCATAGTAGAGTCTTTCGCACATTTCGATGGCATGATCTATGCGGTCTGTTATCAGGACTATATCGTCCGCGAACCTGAGGTGACTAAGCTGCTCTCCATTTATGTTTATGCCCTTTTCGTCTAGGTTTGCACGCTTACACATGTATTCCAATAATGTTGTAAACAGTTTTGGCGAAATGGTGTCGCCCTGGCGAACTCCGCGATGAATTTTGAACTTGTGTGTATCTTCATGGAGTCTGACGCATGCCGTGGCATTATCATAGATATTTTTGATGACAGTGGTGTAGCGGTGATCTATTCGGCACTCTTTTAAAGCTTCTAGCATTTTCTGGTGGTTTACTGTGTCGAATGCTTTCTCATAATCCAAGTATTTACTTACCAACGTAGTATTAAATAAAATTAAAATTTCATTTAATCAATTATCAGTTATTTTTCATATATATATATATATATATATATATATATATATATATATATATATATATATATATATATATATAATTCTTTGGAGGATAACTTTCGGGAAAGCGTCAAAACAAGGATCAGCTAGAGATGGTATAAGCCAGTTTGGTGTAGAACTTTATTCTAAATGTGAAATTTTCGGTGATATGTTGTCACCTTCATCAGCACCTAAATGGAAAACCTATTTTAGTACAAGTGGTGGAAATTAACATATAAAACCTACATTGAAAATGTTCAGTTGGTCCTAGAGGTGAAGAACACAGTCACAAACATGTTAAAAATTTTGTGTTGACATTTTTAACATGTTTGTGACAGTGTTCTTCACCTCTAGGACCAACTGAACATTTTCAATGTAGGTTTTATATGTTAATTTCCACCACTTGTACTAAAATAGGTTTTCCATTTAGGTGCTGATGAAGGTGACAACATATCACCGAAAATTTCACATTTAGAATAAAGTTCTACACCAAACTGGCTTATACCATCTCTAGCTGATCCTTGTTTTGACGCTTTCCCGAAAGTTATCCTCCAAAGAATTGTATTCTTAGCGTCGTTATACAAACTCTATATATATATATATATATATATATATATATATATATATATATATATATATATATATATATTAAATTATTTAAAAAATCGAGAAGATTCGAGCACCTACAGCACCTTAATCGTTGTACACGCTTAGCGGGACACTCTCGAAAGGCATATTCGAACTATTTGGGTTCACGTTTTTAGCGAGATAGAAACCAAGGCATTTTTTCAACAAAAAAATGCAAATAACTTGAAAAGGAAGCATTTTTCGAAAAATTATCAGGAGAAAAGTGTTTATTGTGACGAGATACACCTAAAAAAATTGATTCCGAAACAATTCGGTGAAATTGCTTTTTTGTATAAGTTATTTGTTAATAACAATTGCCGGCCCACTTGTAAACATTAAAAAAAATACATTTCATCTTGGAAAAATATATAGAATCGAATAAAAAAGGTTTGGTGTATTCGAAATGGAAAAAGAATTTTAGTAGGTTGATGCTCTGCTTATAGGGGTAAACCGCTCGCCTAATTATATGCAATTTATGTATGAAAAGACTGTCGCCGAGTATTAGTTCAATTTTCACTGTTATCTGTTATTACTAATGGCACAGAATACTCCATCCCAAGTAGTTGGGATGGAGTAGTATTCTGTGCTAGTGGCACTAGTTGTTTGGCCGATCGAAGCTGATTTTTTTAAATCTTTCTTGGAATAGTGAGATCGTTTTATAACTGATGCATAAAAATGAGTTTTTCTGACGCTTTACCAGGTTGCAGTAATAGTAATGCTGATAGTCAGTGTTTGGACATTGTTGTTTCACTATTCTAATAGCCATTATCTAGAAGAACTGAAGTTGATAGAAAAAAAATTATTATGAATGAAAGGCCTACTCCAAAATTGCGTATTGACCAAAAAGATGGGAAAAATGTGCGTACTTTTAATTGTTCTTGGTATGATGTCTATAAATGGTTGTCTGGAAGTATTACGAAAAACAGACTATATTGTGGGTCGTGTTTATTATTATCTAATAAGAAATGTGTATGTAATTCTGATTATGAATGATTACAGTCAGGAAATCAAAATCAGAATAGAAAAGGCTAGAGCAAATTTCAACAAAATTAGAAGAGGTCCCTGCTATGTACCAAGGATTTAAAACTGGAACTAAGAGTTAGGTTGGCGAGGTGCTATGTTTTTTCGACTTTATTTTATGGAATGGAATCTTGGACCTTGACTGAAATCATTCGAGCTGTGGGTATATAGAAGAATTATTCTGAAACTATCGTGGACAGTACACGTCACAAACAAATAAGTTCTGAGAATGAATAAAGAAATGGAAATTCTAAATACAATTAAAACAAGCAAATTAGAATATCTCGGACATATTACACGTGGAGAGAAATACACCTTGCTCCAACTGATTATGAAGGGAAAGATCCAAGGAAAGAGAATCGCATAACAAAGTAAAAAAGAGAAGATTTGGAAAAATTATGCAGGTCAGGATTAATACCAGAAAAAACTCATTTGTGGTAACAAAACTTACCCATTTCTACTACAAATACAATTGATTTCCAGACCTCCAAGACTTCCAGAACCGGACGTGGATGAAGATTTTACAGATGAATAAAATTTTGTTTCTTTAATTTGAGTAACTTTTTTTTGAATACATTTGAAAATAGGTTATGTTGTTTTATTATCCTTATTCACTATTATTAATGCTTAAAATGGGAACTGATCAAGACAGTTACGTTATGATTTCTGACCATCTCGTAAGAGAATAAGGTCTCGAGTTTTGCAAGTGTGTCAATAATCATTACTAAAAAAAAATTACGTAAGTACACGTTCTTTTCACTATTTACATATTTACTTCAATAAGTACTGTCCTAAACATAAATATTTTAAGAGGAAAAATCTATTAAGTACTCTTTTACATTTGAAAAACAGAAAAATCTAATTTTGAATTTAATTATCAACATCAAAGAGAGTCTTAATATAAAATACCAACCCAAAAATCAATATAATCGGATTTAAAATAAATGTTTTGTATCCAAAAATATTGCACTTTTTCTTAAAACTTCATTTTCTCCAAACTATGTAACAAGTACTTGGTGAGTTTTACCTTTAAAGTGTCGATATATCAACAACTCGTCCATTTTGCTTAACTATTTCACTTTTAGGATGACGATTCACTATGTAGTTTCTTAATCCTCCTTATAGGAAAATTTTAAAAATAAATACAGCACGTCCTTCTTCAAATATTTAACGAATATAAAGATATTTTCTGTTCTTCCTCCTTACTGTTTATTTTTATAACTTCTCGTAAAATATTTCCATAGAGACATATTTTAATACTTCGTTTAGTCTACTTAAGAAAAACGTTATAAAAACTAATACAAACCTTAAAAAGTCCAATCCAATCTTCGTCACTTTCTTTAACGTCCTTCGTGAGTTTGTAGTAAGCTTTATTTTCTCCTTCTACGTCCCAACTAATAACGTTGTCAAATTCAATTACAGACTCAGCATAATCTGAAAATACCTGGTCAACAGATGGTTTTGAATCTCTTTGAACCCTTGGAGGTGGTAAATATGGCATGGGTATCTAAATAACATAATAGTCGTACAATAAATTCACAATTTTTTGCAAACCATTGCTCGTCGTTTTTTAGTACACAATAAAGCAAAAATAAAGTTGTGTTAGTTACAAACCAATATATACAAAATGAGTTTATGAATGAGTTCATGCTATGCAGTTTCAGACATTTTTATGCAGGCAGTATATTAAAGCAGTTTTTGGACAAGACGAGACTCTAATACTGGCTCTTATAATATAAATAATAAAGATAGACGAGAAACATTGTACACTGGAGACTACGTGAGCATAGTCTTACTGAAGAAAGACCACAAGAACGGTGGCTAGACGACATTCTAGCAAAAGTGGGGAGAAACATGAGAGAGACAATGCTTTTAAACTGTAGTTAACCGGAGATGTCGAATACAATACGAAAATTTGCTCTACTATTGCTTCGCTTAGTAACTATGTACATATAATAAACCTTTGGTTTAAAATGAATTGAGTATGAACACAAAATATTATAAATTAACTAAAAAAATAATTACATTGATTAGGACTAAGTTTGTTTGCTGCAAAACTCTAATATTGAAATAAATACTAAGGAGCACCCATCGAGTTAGAATATATGAAGAGGGCATCACGTGACTAAAAACGACCTCACTTCGGCCATATTGTTAATATTGTTTTGAAACTTTTGACAGATCGTATATGTTTGTTTACATTTGTTGTTTTTCGAATATTTTCAGTTTTATAATACTTTTATAGAAACTGTAATATATTGTGAAAGTGCATAATAATAGTTTCTTGTTCTCAACGTAGTTGCAGTAGCAGAAGCAATGTTAATAAAAAAATCTTCAGGAATATCGTTCCACAGGTTACAGTTTATTTTTATGAACGAGAGAGTAATTAGCATAATTTTAACTGGTATCTCCGACCACTCCATGGGCGTGCTCAAGATTAATTGAAAAATTACTTTGAATAATTGTAAAAAATAAATGAATTATTTCAGTGTTATAAAGTGTTATGTGTATGTAAACAAAAGTGACCTCTTTTATCACACACTATATTAGAACTGACTGGCCTACATTAAAAAGGGTTTTAAAAAATTCAGATTTTTTTTAATTTTTAAAAATTACAAAAGAGAAAAAGAGTTTTTAAAACCGTCTAAGGTATGTTAAATAGATTAATAAAAATATTAATATAAAACTTACAGCTACTTGTTACAAATCCAAATCAGATTCAGAAGATGAACTTTCAGAACCAACATTTATAATAACTGGCTCGATCATTTTATCAGTAATATTGATCTAAGAAGATCTATCATTTGTTCGAACCATTCTTGAAAGACATCAGCGTTCATGTCTTCATGGTAGTCACCGGTACGAGTTGATTCAAAAGTTAATAAACCACCTTCAACAAAACCGTCTGAACTGCCAATGTGTACTATTATCAGCCTGCGTCCCTTTCCTGATGGTGGGTTTAAACCAGTAGATAAGTTATTTACAAAAGCGTGCCTTTGACTTGTAACAGTTTCATCCTGCCAAAATTTATTTGGTGTATGACCCTCGTTGATCCATGTTTCATCAAGATAAAATATTTTTCTTTTTTGGTTTCTCGTTTCCTTTATGGTTCTTAGAAAATGTCTTCTCCATATGAGAATATTCTTTCTAATAAATTAGACTTTCTGGGATTATTTTTCCAGCGGAAGCCTATTTCTTTTAAAAGTTTCCATAACGTACTTCGACTCATTTCTGGGTAATCCTTATCATCTCGAACTGAGACAAGAACTTTATCCAATGTTGGAAATTCTTGTCTAAAGAAGAATTCATGCACTTTCCGTCGAAGTCCTTCTTTAAAATGATATTCTATTTGAAATTTTGGTTTCCCTGGAGCATTACGTGACATTTGAAAACTACCACATTTCTCTTTTTTAATAACTCTGTAAATCGTAGATTTCCCAACACCAAGTGTATTGCTAACTAACTCAACGGTCTCATCAACACTTTCACATAAACGTTGTCTGTAAATGATTTAAAACAATTAAATATTAATGTTTTTTCATTAACTGTTAAAGGACCAATTTTTCGGCGTTTACACGGCACTTCCAAATTTTCCATAACACTAGTATACACAATAAACTGCACCTTGCAACTGAAGTACCTACTTTTAGTGAACTGTTGGCCCTCGGTAATAATGTAATCTTTCATTCTGCGTTTAAATTTTTTAAAAATATGTTTTAGTTTTTTCAGGATTCGAAAAAAATGAACACCATGTCCGCGGTAATATTTTCCAAATCGAACATTCGCTATCTTAGTCATACAACGCATCTAGTCGAACTGAAAGTGGTGGAAAGGCTACTAAATGTTTGACACGGCTTCAGGAATATTTTGTGTTGCTTATTAAATAATATTAATAGTTTATTTGATAAATAATTAATTTAAGATGTGAAATTAATAAAAACTTATTTATTGTTTATTATTTATGAAAGATCCAAGTATCAGATTAAGTCATTAAAGTTCAAATAAAAATATTATTTTATAAGAGTTTGTTTTCATAATCGTAAATGCGAGTTTAGGAATAAACTAAAGTGCCCATGGTGCAGATATGAAAAGCTACGAAGGTGGCGCATGACAATTATCTTGAGTGAATTATAATATTTTGACATCATATTATAATAAAGATGATTGTAAGAGTTTATAATTAAAGGTTTTGCTTTTCATGAAGAGGTTAACGCTTTTTTTTTTCATTTTACACATCTACATATTTTTTTGTTTATTTTTTTTAGACTTTAATGATTAACACACTTTTGAATGTTGTAGCATTCAGTTCAATGTACCTTTATTGTTTATTTACAATATTTATCTTGGACTATATCAATGGTACTTTTAAGACTTAAAACTTAAATTGTTTGTTTATTTATATAGAAGAGAGTGGTTACATAGGCCTCTAGAAAATACATAGTATAATAACTAGGTACCTACATTCAAAGTAAAATAAAAACTATTAATTAAAAGATATTAAGTATGTTAAGTGTAATAAATATTCTCTGCAATAAGATCCTATTAATCATAATTAATAACTTATTTTACAAGGTAAAATTGACGGAAAAAGGGCCTCAGGACGAAGAAGAATATTCTGGCTTGCTAACCTGAGAGCAGGGTACATAAAGACCTCAACACAGCTATTCGTATAGCAACCAACAAAGTCATTGCTGTTTGAACATTTGTGACGATTTTCATTTGTAATGAGCTGCCACTTGCAACCAAATAGACAATGGTAATGTGAAAGTATCTGATTTTTAAAATAAACATTCAATTTTTTAAGTTACATCAAATCAACTTCTAGATCATGTTAAGTTAGTCTAATGAGCATTAGTTTAACAAATGTTAATAAAGATCTTTTCATCGTTCTTGGCGTGTGCGTGTAAAAACACTTGCAATATGTTGTTTCATCTGCCTTTCCTTGTCTAAGCTGGAATCGTTTACCTCCTCCAGTGACGGAGCAAAATGTAGCATGTCAAACGAAATAATAGTTATAAAAGAAAATTATAAATTATTTTTCATTAAATTTCTAATAACGGAATATACGTATAAATTGCGAAGAAGCATTTTTCTAGCTTGCAGTACAATAGGACAGGATATAACGAAAAGTACATTTTAAAAATATTTTGAAATATACCCAAAAAAGTGTTAATTATTCAACCCAGTTTAATTTAGAAATGATACAGATTTTTTAAGTTTTAAGCACTGTAGCGAATTCTGAACTGTTACAACGTACTGACCTTGATTAATTAGCTAATCAGTCAGCGTCTTCACTGGAACTGTCTTCATCATTGGAATCTTTCGCCAAATCGATGATAATCCTACTTTCATTTTCATAATATGTGACCATTTTTGTCCAGTCGTCCTGAATTAATTTTTCAGTATGGTTAACACAACTCGCCCACACTGCAGGTGTTGCCTCAGCTAATGCATCGCCCCAAACTTTTTCACTGTTTCATCTCCACGTCCATGTTCTCCAATATGACGATCATAGTATTGTTTAGAAATTCCTCAGACCAACTCAATCGGATTATATTGACAGTGATATGGAGGCAATCTCAAAACCTGATGCCCATGTTCTTGGAGTAGCTCGTCTATAACGTACCTGGTATTTTGTGGTTTATTCTGGCGACAAAGATTCAATTCGTCTTGCCCGAATCGTCGTCAAAAAATCGTAAGTCCGATTTTTTCCAACTGGCATTCGGTAACTTTTCTATTAAAGAGCTATGGTATGAGGCATTATCCATAATAATTAGAGATGGTTCCTCCAACATTAGTATCAGCTTTTCGGAGACCCACTTTTTAAAAGACTCTTTATCCATAGAATCATGATAGTCTGCACTCTTCGATTTCGTAGAAAACAGTAATCCAGCATCTTTAACAAATCCTTGCCTACTTCCGGCATGTAAAACAACAAAGCGTTTACCTGTATTTTCATGTCCTTTTCTGATGCTTTTCACACAGTCATCTTGCCAAGTACGTTTATATGTCCCTTTTAGGAATATCCATGTTTCATCTAAAAAAACGAACTGAAGTGAACTTGGACTTAATAAATTTCTCATATAATGCCTCAAAAAATACAGTGGTTTGGAGACAATACATGGTTTCTCACATAGCACTCGTCTACTATTTTCTAGTTTGTATGAAAACCCACAATTTTTCATAAGACGCTACAAACTTGTATCAGAACCGTCATAGAGATGCTTGTTTCTTAATTGTGTATTTAGAACTTTAATTGTAACGTGCTCTCCTTTTGCTTTCATGCCATACAGTACATTTCTAATCTCTCCTTTTATAGTATCGCTGACATAATTAGTCTTTTTTTTTTGTACATTACGTGACTCTCCTGGTGTAGTAAGAGTCTTGTATTCACTCTTTATTCTTGTCACTGTGCGAAGACTGATTTTCAAATCGTCCGCTACTCGTTCATGTACCGATGATAACGAAAGCAAAGGTCCGTTGTTTTCTTTTTCTTTTTTAAAATAATCCAATAAATCAACTACACATTGTCGCATTTCTCCTGTTATCGTTTTTCCCGGCATTTTTTTTATTAAATAGAACAATTAGTTATTCACAACAAAAAATAATAAGTAAAACTATTCGGAACAAATTTCAACAATGACTGACTAAAATCGACTAAAACAACATAAAATATCAATGGTAATTGCTACAATTATAAACCTATTAGCCAGCTCATTCAAGAACAATGCCACAAGTCATTATTGCAATGGGTATCGGAAGAGAGAGAGAGAGAGTTAATTTATAATAAACTGGAATTTTTAAGGTGTCGAGAGTATTATTTTATGTAATGGAATTCCACACAGTAAGAGCTCAAACTATTAATTAATTAAAAACTGTTTACTTATAAAAACTATTTCATCAGCTACTTCAAACCTGCACAGATCAGGGTAATATGTTAAAAAAAACACGTCACTGGCAGCTATCTGTATTCGTGAAGAGGCCGAACTTATCACCGACACCGTATCGGCCAAACGCATCGGTGTTATTGCTACAATACTGGGAGACGTGAGTGGTCTCTTCATTCCCTTCTCATCGCACTTTACCATGACGAACGTGACTCGCACAATTGAAGTACGCATCTGTGTATCAGAGAGAGAGAGAGAGGAATATTAAAAATTCCGTATTAGCTTATTTCAGGCACACGCCAAGAACGATGAAACCGAGTTTACCAGTTAATGTTAATGTTAAAGTATGACTAATATGTTATTTAAAAAAAAACAATTTTTCAAACTATGTAATAAATCTTATTATTAAACTATAATATTAAACTCTTTAGTAAGCACTGAACTTTCCTATATCAATACCACTCGCATTGTATTCAGTCAGATCAAAATATCCATGACTAAAGAAAAAATAGTAACTTCTCCCAACTATCATAACACACTTACCTCTATCCCTCATACACTTCCTGATACTCAAACCTATACCCGAGGAGAAGACCTCTCCACTATAACATCCAGAGAAGGAAACCACTGAGTACAACCGGATATGAGGGAGAGAGCAGCAGAAGTGGGAGAGAAAGAGGGGAAAAAAGGAAGAGATGAAACTCGAGGGAAGAGAATCAGGAGGAGAGAAGCGGAAGAACAGGTAAAAACAGGAGCTAGAAAAAGTGCAAGCAAAAGCAACGGGAAGGATAGGATAACAGGTAAACGGGGGAAGGAAGAGAGAAATAGGAAACCAAGAGACAGCAGAAAAGAAGGAGAACAAAAAAAGGGAAAGAAGGATCAAAAAAATAAAATGAGGGAGGAGATTTTCCGTAGAAAGGAAGGAGAATCGAGCAGCTCGGACAGCGGAACAAGCTCCGAAGATGAATGATAAAAGCATTGGCTAAGAAAGAGAAAATCGAGTAAGAGAACAGAAGCGACCAGTTCGGAGGAGGAAAAACAGATACTGAACTACAAAGCAAGATTAAAGTTGAGTGCCTCCAAGACAGCATAGCGGCACTAGATAAAATCAAGGTTATCCATAAAGGGGGAAAAAGACATCCAGAGAAATCGGATGCTCGATTATATCGAAGAAGTGGAGGAGGATAAGAAGAAAGCAGAGATCCTAAGGAAGTCTGTGTGCACGGCATCCAAAGGTGTGCAGACCAACGTGGAACCCTTTCAAGGAATGAAGACGGCGACAATAGGGGTTTAAGTGGACCAAGAGAATTCAGAAGCCAAGAATGTCCAGAGGGAGCAAGAATTATTGGTATTGTGATAAACAATATAAGACATGCAGATGATACGGTGATCATAGCAGAACAGCTTCGTATATTAATGAATATACTTAGCTGCATTAGAATGTAGCAAACAATTCAAATATATATATAACGGCAATGAAAAATTCAAATATTTAGGATTCATATTCTCAAAAAATGGAACCACCGCGTAAGAGATAACCAGCAGATTAGCACAGACAAGGACAAGAACATGTATTAAACAAATGAACGGGGTACTGTGGCATAGAGAGATTACCAGGTCAAAAATCACAGCAACTGAAATGGAGTTCATGAGAAGAAGCTGCAGAGTGACAAAAACAGATCGTATCAGAAATGAGGGGACAAAACGAAGAATGGTAGTAGAACAAGACATACTCAGCTACATCGAAGAAAAACGTTTAATTTGGTATGAACATGTGAGAAGAACAGATCATACAAGGTGGATAGCACAGATTTCGGATTGGAGCCCAATAGGAAGGACGAAAAGAGGTAAACCCCGAAGATCATGGAGGTATCAAGTGGACGAGGCCATGGAAAGACGAGACCTTAGAGATGGAGAATGGCAGAACAGAAAGGACTGGAGACGTTGGCTGAAAGAAGGAAGGCGGCGACAGCTGTAACTCTGGGTAGAAAATAAATTGATAACTAGACCGTTCAAAGAAAATCCAGAGAATTAAAATCGTAAAGAGCAAGGATAAACGCTCGCCAACATCTGTTGAAGATCGTTAAATTTAGGAAAACCTATCGGAAAACCATCTCGGAAATATACCGAACAAGACTTTGCTATACTGGTCACCAACCTCAATAGATTATGGGTACATAGGAGAAGGAGAAAGGTACTAGAGAAGATAATCCGCATCATTGCCCAAGTGTCGAAAACCTCCAATTATATTTCGGCGAATATCACAACTAATATATTTTTAAGTTTGAAAAACTGTTTTCATTGCTTGCTGGGTTAACATAGCTGGATAATATTTAAGCATGCACACATTTTAAATGTTACCTTTACAAAAAATTCAGCAGTAACTGGTTTATGATCACTAAGAACATAGTTTGGATGCGACTTGTACGAAAGCTGATCTACTTTCAGTGTTACGTTTTCATAGTTGTTGGAGTTAACTTTATATAGTATCCTGTCGCACCAAGCTGGACGTCTCCTATAAATTATTAAGGTGAAAGATGATGGTAAAAGTTGAAAAAACTAGTTCGATTGGAAAAGTTATGATTTTCCTGGTGTATCAATATAACGTCATTATTCCGTCTTTGTTCTTATGAAAAGTGATGTTAAGCAGTGATGTTAAATTAATTTATAAATTACAGTAAAACCTCGACTAGTTAGGGGGACGAAGTGTCCGCTAAAGCTGAAAGTCCGTTATATAAAAGTATGTTTAAAATAAGTCAAAAAACTTTTTTTTTTAAATATGTAGGTACACTGTATTTGGTTATACATATTGAACGAGATAAATTCGGAACATACGAAATATTACGTATTTCGGCTCAACTCCGCTTTAGGTGGTTGGCCAACAAAAGGTTGTCAAACAATTATATTATAAAAATCCAATACTTCAGCGGGCTGCTGGATTCTGAACTCATTCAAGAACAAGTCCTAACTCCACCCAAATAGGTTGCCTCGCCCATCACGTATAAAAATTGAACGCATCGAATCGAATTTAACGCTTCCCACAGATGGATATTTTGAGCGGTGTTGCCAATCTCATACCTCTAGATGTTTCTCAAATAAGGTGTTAACCATAAAATATTTACAGGAAAGAAAGGAAATAACTACAAACCATTAAGTTTATTTTTGTTAGTCTGTTGTAGTAGATTGGTAAATACAATGAAAAATATAGGCAAATATCCGATTTATTTAAAGATACGAAGAAAATATAACTCTCAAAAAGATCCGCAAATCGTATTATTACATGGCGATTGGCAACACTGACTTTGGTGCGTCCTAAAACGAGACAGATAGTTGAACGATATTTTATACAATGTCTATCACCGGGTATGGATTTATTTTGTCCAAGTTTTATATTGGTCCACTTTTTCAAATGCAGTTCAAACAGACATATATGAGGAATTTAACAAAAATTCGCAACTTAACTGAAGCCAAATATGGTGATATTGCAATTTGCTGCCCGTACCCCGCAGTAACAATTTTTTTCTGTAGGTTGATACCAAAAAACATCTTTTCAGGTGCGACCCTCAAAAAAAAAGACAAATTTAAGTTTTTTCCAACAAAAACTGATTTGTTCGCTAAAGCTATATCATTCTTCTAGCGATCTGCCTCGAAAAACGAGTGAAAGAGACTTCTATACTTGGAGTACACGTACATATCAGATACAAATCGCTTTGTCTTGGTCTTCAGAAGGAGCTCTATCCCTTTGAAGAGCCAAGAAACATCTGCTCAAAGCGTGGCAAGCGGTTATTCAGTCACTAAAATCGACGTTTTTTTTTTCATTTTTTCGCAATTTTACCCGAAAATAAATTAAAAGAGATCTACGTACATATTAGGTACCAATCACTTTGTCTTGGTCCCCAGAATGAACTCTGACCCCCTTAAAGGACCAAAAAAAAAAGCTTAAAGCGTGGCAAGCGGTTATTCATTCCCTAGAATCGACGTTTTTTTGTTTCATTTCTTCGCGATTTTACCGGAAAATCAAGTTAAAATGACTTTCATTTTACAACTGAGTTTTCCAAAGGCGATTGGATCGTAGTAATTTATGATCAATGGTACGCAGGGGTAGTTGAAGAGGTAACGAACATCTTGTAACAAAATTTCTCTCAACTACAAAAAATGGCTTTTGTTTTTTGAATCGACAAGAGCATACAACAAAACGTTTTATTAACTTAAGTTTGATGTAAAATAGAATCGCCAGAACTAACTAAATTTAGAAATAAAATAATGTACCATATCAGTGGAAATCAGAAAAAAATTATTGAAAATAATGTAAAAAATAATATAATTATATGATATATTTTGTAGAATTTATATAATTAATATAATTTTTTTTGAATCAAAAACAGTATTAAAATTTTGTTTATTTCATATTTTTCTGTTAAATACAAGATTATTTAATATTATAAGCCAAGTTCTTTTTTATAGTGTTTAATTAATGAAGAATAAAATACATTTATACCATTGTTAAATAGTATCTATCAATAATAGAAAAATTAGAATATTTTTGATGTATTGTATTATTATTATTATTATTTACAATAGATTTGAGCAGGGGTTGCAAAACCCATATGTCCATGTGACTACAATGTTATATAGTGTACAATTAAATTGTTACATTACAGTAGTTACATATTAAGCACTAACTAACTAAATGAATATACAATAACATAGGTAATAGCAAGTGTTTAGTACAAATTAAATGTTCAACTATGGAACAAAAGGTCATCCAGTTTATTTTTGAAAATATTGACAGATGGAGCATCTATGATCTCACCCGGAAGGCTATTCCATATCGAGAACACTCGATTACAGAGAAAAAATTGTCTGGTTGTTGTTAAAAAAGTTTCCTTTTTAAACTTAAGTTTGTGGCCACGAAGACGGTTGTCATTGTCTATTATGAACATATTCCCCAAATTTCCAAAGTTGTATTTTACTATCCGAAACGTAATAATTAAATCGCCTCGAAGTCGACGTTGTTCAAATGTAGTGAGATTGGCCATATTCAGTCTTTCTGTATACGTAGGTCTTGAGCGACCAAAAGACATCCTGGTGCACTGCCGCTGTACGTTTTCGAGAATATTACGATCGCGCACTAATACTGGACACCAAACAGTTCCGCAATATTCCAGAACTGGACGAATGTACAGTTTATACAGATGAATTGAGCTCATAAATGATATTTTCGCAAACGTTTTATTTAGTAGATATAATTTACTGTTAGCTTTTTTAGAAATATGCAAAATGTGTTCCGACCAACTTAGATTGTTATTAATTATAACGCCTAGATCATTATGCGATTTCACTGTTTTTAACACGCGCCCATTAATAGAGTAAGGAAGACACGGATTATTTTTACCCATGTGAAGAACTACACATTTTTCCACATTAAGAGGCAGCATCCAGGTAGAGCACCATTCCGATATGCAATCAAGGTCATCTTGTAGTAACTGGAAATTTACGGAGGGATCGGAAAATAGCTTCGTGTCATCTGCATAGAAAGCATTGTTGCATTTAATATGAAATTGTAGATCACTTGAGTATGCTATGAATAAGAGTGGGCCCAAAACTGATCCTTGCGGTACCCCACTTAAAACCGTTCTCTCAACTGAGAAAGAGTCCCCAACTCTAACACAAAATTTTCTATCTGTTAAATACGCGTCGATCCATTTCAGTAGTTGACCACGGATACCAAGGTGTTCCAATTTATGTAATAGTCTTCGTTTTGGAACTCTATCAAAAGCTTTAGCAAAATCGAGGTATATAATGTCCACCGGGGCTTTTCTGTCTAATGCTCTTGACCATTCATTGACACACCAGAGAAGATTTGTCATTGTAGAACGTCCTTTGACAAAACCATGCTGCTGTTCTGGTATAACCAGTTCATTTTGCAGAAAATCAGAAATTGTCTCGGCAATAATAGTTTCCATTATCTTAGATATTATAGGTGTTAAGCTGATAGGACGATAGTTATTAGGATCCAGTTTGTTCCCTTTTTTAAAGATCGGTGTTACAGATGCGGTTTTCCATATAGGAGGCAAAATATGTGTGGTGAATGATAGGGACATAATCACATATAGTGGATAAGCTAAAGCATCAGAACATTTCTTTAAAAATAAAGAAGACATTAAGTCGAGACCAGGAGACGAATTATTTTTTAGGCTTTGAAGATGATGTTTAACTTTTTCAGGAGTAATGATTATATTTTCAAGAGAAGAAGAAACTCGTGACGAAGTAATATTAGGGAACTGATAATTAGTGGGTTCAACAGAGAAAACCTTGGAGAAAGTACTGGCGAGAAGTTCGGCATTCTCAAAGTTATTTTGGGATATATCCCCATTATCATTTTCCAGTAAAGGTATAGAAACTTTTGTTGTCAACGAAGATCTAATATACTTGTGCAATTTTTTACAGTTATTACTGATGGCTATACTCTCTTCGTAGGCAACACGAGCTTCATGTAAAGATTTCTTTAAATCTCTGGCAAAGTCTCGATGAATTTGTAAATCCTCTATGCGATTTGTACGTCTATATTTGTTCCACAACTTTCTTTTATACTTGATCAGATATATTAATTCCCCATTAATCCAAGGTTTTATGTTATTTTTGTATATGGTTTTTTTGAGGGTATTTTCGTTTTTGCATAAATTAACAACCTGTAAAAACTTATCCCAGAATACAACTGGATTCCTTATGTCGCCGTATTCTATGTATTTATTTTTTTTTACTTGACTAACTTTTATCTCGTTCTAATATTCATACTAACAAAAAAAAATTTTGTTATAAAAAAAGAAGAAAAAAAATTGAATCGTATTGTCTTACTTAAAACACGATAAATTAATATGTGAAGGTTTTCAGCTATAACAATTTACTATCCATAATTTGATGACGGATCAGGCTACATACTGAGGATCTAGTCACCAGCTTCCGATAGGTAGATGAACCTCACTTACGGAAGTCATTTTAACTTGATTTTCCGGTAAAATCGCGAAAAAATGAAAAAAAACATCGATTTTAGTGACTGAATAACTGCTTGCCACGCTTTGAGCAGGTGTTTCTTGGCTCTTCAAAGGGTCAGAAAAAATAAAAAAAACGTCGATTGATTTTAGTGATTGAATAACCGCTTGCCACGCTTTGAGCGTGGCAAGCGGTTATTCAATCACTAAAATCGACGTTTTTATCAATATATAATCAATATATATATATATATATATATATATATATATATAATATATATATATATATATATATATATATATATATATATAAGGTTCTTGAACTCCTAAGTGGAGCATAGAGCTTCAGTGAAAACGCGCCATCGGGTTCTATTTTGCGCTAAGGCCTTCACCTCATTCCAAGACTTTCCTTGTTTTCTTATCTCGTCCATGATGGATCTTCTCCAAGTTTGTACTGGGCGACCTTTTTTTCGTTTTCCTTGGGGGTTCCACTCTAGGGCAGTCTTTGCAATACTGAAGTTAT